GGCCCCCCACAGGAGCAGGAGCCCGAGCAGTTCACGCCAAACGTCCCCGAGGGGCACTCTGCAGGAGGGAGCAAGCAAGGCCCCATCAGCCCCAGCTGCCCCCCTCGCGGCCCGCTCCCTCGTCCGCCGGCCTCATAAATGCAGGGTGCGGGGCTGCTCTTGCCCACGGCTTGGAGCCAGTCACCCTGCCGTAAGGGAGGACAGGGCACGGCAGGGGGCCGGACGCCCAGCGCCCGCCCAGACGGGCACCCACCTTGGGCACAGCCCTTTCCCCGGTGGCCGGCGGGACACTGCTCCCAGCACTCGCCGCTGACGGGGTTGCAGGTCACACCGGGAGGGCAGGCGCAGGCGTTCTGGCACCCCGGCCCGAAGGAGCCCGGCTGGCACTCTGCAGGCAGGAGAGAGGCCTGCGGGCTCGGCTGGCCCGGCCCTCCCGCGCGCCGGCCCGCCCACTTTCTGACACCACCTGCCCCGGAAGCCCCGCCCCCACCTTCAGTTCTGGCACCACCCACCCGGTAGCCCCACCCCCTCCGTCCTGGCACCGCCCGCCCCGGTAGTCCCGCCCCTGCAGCCCTGGCACTGCCCATCCCAGTAGCCCCACCCTGAAGTCCTGGCACCACCCACCCCGGTAACCCCACCCTTAAGTCCTGGCACCACCCCCCCCGGCAGCCCCACCCCCTCCATCCTGGCACCGCCCACCCCGATAGCCCCGCCCCTGCAGTCTTGGCACCGCCCACCCTGGGGCCCCGCCCCCTCCGTCCTGGCACCACCCACCCCAGGGGCCCTGCGCCTGCGCTCACCGTCCTGGCACCGCTCGCCCCGGTAGCCCGCCTTGCAGGCACAGCGGCCGTCCCTCGGGTCACACGCCTGGCTGTTGCGCTGCTCGCACTGGCACTCCTCGGAGCAGCCCGGCCCGAAGGCCCACGGCGGGCAGGCTGCACACGGGGCCGAGAGGGGGTCGGCGGGGCTGCTACCTGCCCCCCATGGGGTCCAGAGGACCGGGCCCCGGTTTGCTGGGACCCCACTGCTGCCCAGCTCCCCTTCCTCTCCTCGCTGTGGGGGCCCCAGGGGTCAGACTGCTCCCCTTGGTCCCTCACTCTGGGGGCGGCCCCCACAGCCCCCCACCAGGGCTCTCCTAAAGCTGAGAACTGCAGCCCCAGCAGCTCCCAAGAGGTACCCGCCTCACCCGCGCCCGGGCCAAGGACCACCGGCCGGACCCCCCGAGGCCAGCGCAGTCCAGGTGGTTGAGTCCACAGACCCAGGAAGCCCCCCAGGTCCTGGGGTCCTCCACAAACAGTGGCCAGTCCAACCCGCGCCCACTGGGACACTCGCCCCCAGGGGCAGGAGGGCTCACCCAGGTGGCAGAAGCGGCCGTACAGCCCCGGGTCGCAGAGGCAGGCCCCGTAGAGGCGGTGGCACCGGCCGCGGTGGGCACAGTGGCACTTCTTGCGGCAGAGCCGGCCGTAGAAGCCCTTGGGGCAACCTGAGGAGGGGGGCAGGTGAGTGCCCGGGGGGCAGCCCAGTCCGCACACCCCCTGAGGTGCTCCTGGCACAGGGCCAGCGCTGGCCTGGACACCTGCAGATGGGGGGCCCAGGGCTGCCTCCCAGGCCAAGGGGCTGGGCAGCAGGGAGGGACCTTGAGGGCAGGACGCAAATCCCACTCTCCCGGGGCCGGCCATCCCCAGGGCCTCGGCCAGGACGGTGCCGGGCGCGCTCCACACAACACGCACCCCTCAGGGTCCCGAGTCCGCCTCCGAGGCTCAGAGGCCTTGGGCCCCGCTGGCCAGCGTCCCGGCCTGAGCTCAGCGCCCAGGGCCTCTCACGGCCCTGCCACAGGGCCCCTGTGGCTGGACCAGCTACTCCTGCCTGCAGGGCCGGGGACCCGGAGCCAGACTCTCGGGTGACCGCCTGGGTGACCCAAGCCGGCCGACCCCGCAGGCCAGGAGCGACCCTGCACCCACCGCCACGCTGGGCTGTACTGAGTGCTTCCCACTGGCCGCCCCAGGGCCCACCGAGCTGCCCCCTCTGGGGTCTGCACCGCCCGCAACACTGGCCCCAGGCCCTAGCAGGACACATGCGCCGAGATTCGCTGGCTGGGCCCTTTGTGCTCCGCGAGGCCACCAGGGGGCAGCGGACAGGCACCGTGACGGGCACTGCACCTGCCCTCCTGGGACGTCCCAGGCATGGGGGGGAGAGGGGGTGCCCACCGTCCTCGCAGTGGGCTCCGCTGACGCCCGGGGGGCAGCGGCAGGCGCCCGTCTGGGGGTCACAGGTCCCGCCGTTCTGACAGGAGCAGGAAAAGCTGCAGTTCTTCCCGTAGGTGTCTGGGGGACACGCTGAGGGGCAGGGCAGCGGGAGGTCACTAGGGGGCTCCAGACACAGAGGCCCCCCGAGACACCCTCCGGGCTGGGCCACCTGGTTCAGAAGCAAGTGCGCGGGCAGAGGCCAGCACGCGCCGCTGCCCGCGCGGACGCCCACTCC